AGTTTGTAAATATCACTACATAATTGTCGAATTTCATTAAATTTTTTTTATTTCAGACATTGAGATTTACATACCGGAAACTTAGAGTTATCGTTCAAAAAATATTGCAGTGTTTGGATGATTAGATTGCTGCCTCGAGAGAATAAAATGCTGTAAACTATATAAATTTGATTAGCTGTACTCAGAGTATCAATTTGGTATCCAGTATCAAATTAAAGAAAAATCATCTTTTGTTATTGAATAACTAGACCATTTTATAAGATTTAAAAACGTCTAAATTATTTAATAAAACCATTTGTGCAGGATATACATAATTTTATTTAATATTATTTAATTTATAAATGTAAACATTGTTTCATATAATTATATGATTAATCAGTTTATTTAGATAATAAATAGTCAGATGGATAGTAAGATAGATAGACAGATGGATATTAGAGTGGCCGTAAAAAATTTTTTTTTGTTTTTCATATGTTTCTGCTTGTTAAAATATTCCTTTTGATGATAAATTAAGGAAAATAAAATTTCAGATCGATCGCATTGTGCCAACCCGTGCCGAGTTGAGCTCAAAGTTGTAAAATTACCTCAATATAGAAAAAGTCATCAAAATTACTACTTTGCTCGTAAAATATATTACTAACAGTTTTATTTCAGGAATATTTTTGACTAATTTACATTATTTAAATGTTTTTACGTTATGATATTGAATTCACTTACGTCTGTTTATATTCCCTACATAATTTTTGATACGAACTAACAAAAGCTGAGTAGTAACATTGCTGTTATAGTTGTTTTTTGACTCTCAAATTGACAACGAGAAAAAAGTTTAACGATAATTGATCATTTACGTTGCGAAAATTAATCTGAATTGATATGGATTCCGTTTCATCTTTGCAATCGAAATCATTCTAAAGCGGCTTAGATCCGATGATGATAACATATGGTATTTTTAATAGGAAAATGTGAAAGTGAAGTCTTTGGAGCAAACTTGCCGTCAATGAAGCAAGTATGTTACTTCAACTGCTTTTCTATAAAATTCGTGTTGAACACAAAACCTTGAAACGAAGTTTTAGAAATGTGATTGATTCCGTATTACCATTTTGGCAAAAGGCTCGTATTCCTACTCTAACTGAATCTAATTGCCAAAAAAAATTACAAAAATTGTACGATGAGTGGAAAAAGTAGCAAATCTCCACACGAAAAATGCCGAATCAGAGAAAAAGAGTTCCGTGAAAAGATAGAACATTTTATATTCGATATCGCAGTACCTACTGCTGTTAAAACAATGAATATCCATGAAGATAAAGATTTCTTGAGTCAACAAAGAAAGAAAGGCCGACCAGGAAGCATAGCAGGCATTGATAAAAAATTATCACAAAAAGAAAAGCGCAAGTTAGAACTATTAGAGAAACTTGATAAACGTAAACAGCAATATATGGAAGATTTATGTACAAGCGTTCCAGGTAATAACATATAAGAATCAATGATTGACGTTTCTTTATTTGTTTTCAATAATCATACATGAAAGTATATTTTTCGAATAGCAGCGACAGATTCTAGACTCGATATTGAGCATAGCGATAATAGTGAAGATTTTATGGAATATCCATTGTCCTCGGAAGTAGCAATAGAAGAAGATATTATAATTGGAATACCAAATAGTCATTTACGAGGAAAAATACATTTCATTGATGATAGAATGCTTGCTTGAATGGATAAATCTAAAACTTCTACTAGAGATGCGATTCATTTCATAAGTGCAACAGCAGCTGCTTTAGGTCATCGCGTAGAAGATCATGTTCTGAATCGTACAACTGTCCACCTGATGAGAAAAGAATACCGACGCAGAAAAGCGCATGATATTTTGAAGAATTTCGATGTAAATTAGTTAAAGTTTTTTCTTTTTAAGTTTTATTTAAGATATTTAATTGCAGATCCCTTAAGTTTTTGTATTCCATTGGGATGGAAAACTTCTACCAGAAATGAAGGGTAAAGAAAAGGTTGATCGACTTGCTCTTGTCGTCACAGGAGAAAAAACCGAAAATATGTATACTTGGTATTTCGAAACTAGATAACAGCACTGGTAACAAAATCGCACATGCAATTGATCAATTTTTAATTACTTGGGAATTAGACAACTTAGTTGAATTTATTTGCTTTGATACAACAAGTTCTAATACTGGTATTCACAAGGGTGCCGCCTTTTTGCTCGAGCAGAAATTGGGGCGTGAATTACTTTTTCCTCATGCTGCCGTCATATCAGCGAAATATTTCTAAAAGCTGTTTTTGAACTGAATTTTGGTATCTCATCGGCTCCAGAAATTTCAATTTTTAAGCATTTTGCTGACGGCAAAAGAATTAAACGCCATACGGAATATTTGTATTTTTCTAACTCGCTATTACATACAGTATTGGTTAACATGCCAGCACGCAATTGAAGCACCACGTAGGGATTTACAACTAATTAAAGATGCAATCCAGTATTTTGATAAACGAATTTCAGCGGTTTTATTAGAAAAATTCAAAAATCACTTGTGGTATTTGTCAGAAGAAGCTCAGCACTTTTCGACTCTGAAGTTCCACTGAATACTAAAGGAAAGATGATTAAGGCTTTGGAAAAAACTAAAGATGACGATATTCCATGTTCAAAAAAATTCGAAACCACAATCGAAGACATAATGAAGCTCGAAGATAAGGATCTCAGCTATTTTGTTACTTGTAAGACGAAACGACTTTTTCTTCGATTGGAAATTAGCTCCGATTTTTTAAAGTACGATCCGTCATCATGGGGTGAAAGAGGTGATTATTCTTCTGGCCTGCAAATTTGTAAAAACCTGACAGTTGTAAACGATCCAGCAGAAAGAGCTGTTAAGTTAATCACTGACTTCAACTGAGCCTTAACATATGACGAAAAAGACAAACAGTTTTTATTGCAAGTTGTTGAATATTATCGACACATGTATCCATCTCATACTAAATCGTCACTACTAAGCCGAAAACATGAAAAATTTTAAAAACTAGAACAGTAAAACAAACAAAATAGAATATAATTAGGTGAAAACATATAAATAATGTAAATTAGTCAAAAATATTCCTGAAATAAAACTGTTAGTAATATATTTTACGAGCAAAGTAGTAATTTTGATGACTTTTTCTATATTGAGGTAATTTTACAACTTTGAGCTCAACTCGGCACGGGTTGGCACAATGCGATCGATCTGAAATTTTATTTTCCTTAATTTATCATCAAAAGGAATATTTTAACAAGCAGAAACATATAAAAATCAAAAAAAAATTTTTTCCCATACAACTTATGGCCAGTCTAATGGATATGTATATACATAGATACACAGATAGATAGGTAGATAAACAGATTGATAGTTAGCTATAATCTCCTAGCAATATTACACATAAAATATATTCAAGAAGTTTCTATTGTTGATCAACAAAACTGCAACTCTATTCACCATGTGTTAAATCTGTTATGCTCTATGGTTGCGAAACTTGGTGAATCAATATCAATGAAATAAGAAAGATAATCTGTAAAGAATTCTGGCCTTATACAATTAGTAACGAAGTGGTCTAGCAACTTTGTAGTCAAAAAGAAATTAAGTACTGTATAATGAGAAAACGCTGGAGATGGATTGGGCATACATTCCGTAAAAAACGCCATTGATATCTCAAAAGCCGCATTAGAATGGAATCTAGCGTTTAAACGAAAACCTGGGAGATCAAGTAACACATAGAGAAGATCGGTGCTAGCAGAGCTTGAAACTATGGGACTGAACTGGTCACAATTAAAAATTCTCTTAACAAAATAAGATATCGTGAATGGATTGAGACCTTTTGCTCCCATTTGGAGTAAATTTAGGGGGGAAGATAACACACAAAAAAAAAGATATTTAGATACCCCTATAGCTAGATAAATAAATAAATAGATAGATAGATCAAAAAAAATAAAAATAAATATATAGATAGAGATATACAGATAATTAGATAGATCAAAAGATATATAAAAGCAATGATTTCAGTTACGTTGCTAGAATTGTCAAGAGATGATCTATTTCTTAAACGTTTGTAAATGTGGCATTGAATGGAATAGTTTAATATTCGAAAATGGGACCTTTAAAATAATTCTTTGGACTTTTGTATAAATTCAAGTAATAAAATAAAATTTACAATGGCACTAGTCTTTTGAATTAGACCTTCTAGTAATTTTATTGTACTAAATACTTGGACAATACTTCACATTGAACGTGGTCATGTACAGTTTACAATTATTATATATATTTAACGGTTTTCTCTTCTTCACCCTTCAAAGCAAGTTTCTAAATTTTATAAATGTGGAAGCATTTTCTATGGGTTACAAGTCCATCCATATATGATATAAAGTTTTTTTTTTTAAGTTTTCTTTGACTGTTAAGGTAATTAACCCGAGATTCAATTCTCAGGTATGCCCCATATTGTTAAATAGTCCGGCAATTTAAATGTAAAAGGAACTAACTAATAATTTAAAGAAATATATATATATATATAAGAATTTCAACTGGTTTTTATTTCACACATTCAGAAAGGTATAGTTTATACTATTAAACTAAGATAAGATAGTTTATGCTCAATAAGTTATATTTGCATAAACATACTCGTTGGAGATTTTTAGTAAGCAGTAAAAGCGTGGATATGATAATCCGTTTTTACTATAGTGATATTTGAGCTGTTGATGCCGTGTCATATTATTCAAAGGATCTGCATATCTTTTATATTGCCTTAAAAAAAGGTGAGAGTAAAAAGACTAATAAAGTAAAAAGCTTGAACTATGCTTTCGTTTACCCCTTTATAATTTAGGTAAGGTTCTTGAAGTATTCAGTCAATTATTTTTGTATAATTGTATAATGATTATAATTTACATATATTGTATATATATTGTACTAATATTTGCTTATTATTATTGAGTGATGTTAATAGATTAAGACAACAATAATTAAGTTAAATAACTCCTAAGTATTTTATTTATTTATTTGGTTCAAAATATTCATAATAAAAGTTAAGTATCTCCATAAGGAATAGAAGTATAAACGTCACGAACAGTTGAGGTTGAGTAAGCAGATGGAGCGGTGATGTCTAAAGGATCACCAGCAATGAAACGACGAGCAGGTGCAGAAAAAACACCTTTTACCATTGGATCAGTAACTACTGGATTAGTAACTAGTGGATCTGTATAATCTAAATGATCTATTGTAACCAAAGGCGTAAGTGCAGGGGAAACACTTTTTACAACTAAAGCTGTAGTTAATGGAGTCATTACTGGAACAGAAGTAACTACTGGTGCAATAGTAATGTCGTTGTGTTTTCTAGTAACAATTTGGTTATATTGAGTAGTGATGAAAGAAGATGGAGCAGCCATCAACTCGTCAGATCCAGTATAATACAACGGGGCTCTAAGTACACCAGGCATAGCGAGAACGCATGCTATGTAGGGGAGTAAAGTGATAATCTTAAAAAGAAGTGGTTTTATTTTAAAATTCTTTAGTTCTATATAGAATTACTTACCAACTTATTCATAATAATTTCCTTTTTATTTTTATTTCAAGTTTTTCAGTTAGCGATGAAAATTGGTATCCGTTCACCGCGATGTGTGAGTTGATTTCGTTAATTGATGTGTGTCTTAAAACAGTTATTATAGTTTTTGAAGTCCATTAAAATTCATAGCACAACTTACCAATATATGTATCAACAACGCCCTGATGTTTAATATAATGTCGAGAAATTTTAAATATGGTAATGTGAGTAATAAAGCGAAATATCTTAAGTATTTTGTTTTAATAAATATAGAAGGACAAGTGCACGTAACGACCTTTTTAAGTAATTTGCTTCACATTTGCAGTTAAAATTTGTATAAAAAGAATTCAATTTCAGAAGAATATGTCAAATACAAATCAGCTTTTGATTTACAAACAACACAAATTAAACTCAAAACAAACAAAATGTTCAAATTCGTAAGTTAATTAAAAAAATGATTAAAATATCTTAGATTAAAAATAATTTTATATAATTTCAGGTAGTTGTCATATTTGCTGTCATTGCCTGTGTTGCTGCTAAGCCTGGTTTGATTAGTGCTCCATTAGCTTACACTGCACCCGCTGCTGTTGTAGCTGCTCCAGCACCTTTTGTCACTGCCACAAGTAGTCAAGTTGTTGCTAGAAATTTTAACGGAATTGTTGCTGCACCAATTGTCTCCGCTGCTCCAGTTGCCGCTCCATTAGCTGTTGCACCATTAGCTGCTGCCCCATTAGTATCTACGCCAGTTGTGAAAACTGTTGCACCTGTAGCTGTTCCCTTAGCTGCTGCTACTCCATTGGCTGCTGCTCCTGTTGCAAAAGTCGTTGCACCAGTAGCTTACTCTGCTCCTTTGGCCTACTCTGCTCCTTTAGCTTATTCTGCTCCTCTTATTCGTGCTTCATATACAGGAGTGCCATTGTCTTATAGTGCACCATTATCTTACTCTGCCGCTGCCCCAGTTCTATTGTAAATGATCTCAACAATAAAAATAAGTTTAAGTAATATATTAAATATAATATTATAAATCAAAAGTTATAAGATGTTGTTTACTTCACCAGTTAGAACAGGAAAATAATAGTTACTAATATTTAACTAAGAACTGTTTTTTTAATTTAGACCTATATAATGTGTTGATGACTACATCTACGAACAAGAAATGTTAATTTTGATTATTTGCTAATTAGTGTAATATAGCTCCTTAATCCTTTCGAGATTAAGGAGACAGATTCGCTATATATTTTTTAAACAATGTACTATCGTAGCTAGACAAGCATTGGGACTCACAACGAACCCGGTGTCACAATGGCATAACTAGGTTAATAACAAGATGAAGGCATTTAAAATCAACTTATAGTGATAAAAGTAGTGTCGCTATAAACGAAATTCGATTTAGAAAGTTTTATTAAGTTTTTATTAACTTATAATAAATATTTAATATATTTTGAATTATACATATTTTCAGTTAAATATACAATATATTTTTAAATGCTTTATATAAACACTTATCACATATCTCAATTTAATGTGTTGAAAATATGCTGATTTTAATGGTTTATTAAAATAATTTTGATTTTATTTCTAAATCAAATTGGTTTCTGTTTCTAATATCAAATCAAGCTGTATTGGTATTTGCAAATAAATATTTGTGTTTATTGACCTTAAATATAAATCAAAATTATTTCGACCATTTAAAATGCGAAACGCGAGTATCTAAAATGTTTTCAAACCAATCCGCCAATGAGTTTGTTGACATTGGTCAGTTACAAAAATTTTAAAGCATTCCAATTGAAATGCAAAGCCGTAAATCCGTTAAAATAAAACGTAAAACTGCGATAAAAATTAAATAGATTTTACCAAATATAAACAGAAATCAATGGACAGTAAAGGAGTAAACAATTTCTGAGTTACTGAATTACATTCCAAACGCTAAAATGCACAACTGCACAACTGCATTGGATGCACCATTCAGATGCATCCGAAATGAAATAAAATTTAAATAAATTAGTACGTTTACTAATTTTACAGTTGATTGCTTTTGCTTTGATTGCCTGCCACATGATTTAATCGGGCTTTCCAGTAGGAGCCAAACTCAGTTGCATTAACATATCATTTCCAAATAGTTAAGTCGAGTTCAATATATCTACTATTAAACACTTTTGTTTAAACCAAAAATTAGTTTTGGTTTAGTAGTTAGATTTACTGCTCATTCCAAGGCGTGCTAACATTCTGTATAGATCTCAGATTACTTTGAACTATGCACTTCCAAAGACTGATCTTTTTTGAGTTATATTATTAAATTTCAATATAAATCTTAAGTAATTTTAATATATTGAGTATTTATTTATAAATAAATCTCCATTTTTGGGTTGAAGTCAAATTTAACATTTTCATATATCAAAAACTGCTGTTGCCAGAGAATTAATCGCTTGAGCAATATTTTAATACAGATGTTTATCCTTTGGACACTGCGAAAAGACAGCTTTACATTTTGAACTCGCACTAAATTTATACTGAATTTATGCTGCAACATATTTAAGCTGTAGCTTAATAACAGATATTCTTTCCTTTACTTTTATAAAGACTTTCAACAACTTCACTGGCAAGTATTTAATAAAAAAAATTTAATGATTGCTTCAAAAATATTAACTTCCTTTTTATTGTTGCAAATTTCAGTGCACTAAATTAATTTATTGCAAGGATATATGCGAATTTTGATAAAAATTTCCCTTTGTTAACAATCCCCATAAAGGATATGTTCAAAAAGTAACGAGAATTTCAAAGTTGTACATTATGTTTCTTGTCGATTTTTTTTTGTATATTGGTTGCACTGCTAGTAACGCATACATTAACTATAAAGCAGCTGCGATACTTAGCTTGTGTTATGCAGAGCGAATGAAAATTATCGTGGTTAAGGATCTTTTGTGTGGGAAAGAATCGGGTCGGAGTTATTATACTGAAACCCGATATGCTATAAACGGAATGATAAATAGTGTAGCATGTACAATGCTAAAGTAGTTTTTTGGCGGCTATGTCACAATCATAATGTAATGATCTTCACAGAAAGCGCGAGAAGATATTAAAAACAACGCATGGTCTGGTCAGTCCAATATATTCATCAATGATGAAAACATGAAAAAAAATTAAATAAATAGTGTTTTCTAATAGAGAGAGAAAGCTTGCTGAGGAAGTAGGAATCATAAATAGTTCATGAGAAGCTGTTTTTACCAATGTTTAAGAAATGAAATGAGTGGCAAGAAAAATTTTTTTTAATAATTTGATGCTTCTTCAATGGTCTGTGGTGAAGCAGTATATCACTATTATACCGCATACATCTACGCTCAATGTGTATTACATAGTAACATTTTTTATTTTCTAAAGTCAAAAGTACAGTCGCTCAAGACCATACCTAAAAAGACATTCCAACAGTGTTTCTTAAATTACGGAGAACTAATAGTTAAAAAAAATACTAGAATTAAGTTACTTGAATACGATAAGAATAAAATAGAAAAGGAATAAACATTTTTGTTACTTTTTGATTACATCTCATAAAGGTCACTTTCAGGAGTACCAATATGCTTCATATTGCGCCCCTTGTCTAACGAAGCAATATTTAGCGTGTAATGCACTTTAAACTACAATGTCGCATAACAACTCATTAATATCAAACTCATATTGCTGAAATATGTATCGTATATGTCAGTAGCCATCAATATCGTCTTTTAAATAGTAGAATTAAAATTCAACAATATATTAATGGTCATTGGGAATTAATATCTTTACCAAAAAGTAAACCTTAAAACTTCAAATAGTTGACACAAAATCACAAATGGAACGTTAAAAACATTTTTTGAAAATTTGGATATAAGAAATAATAATTAATATTAATTAATTAATTAATAATTAATAAAAGGCTAAAACTTTCAACTATATTAGGCTACTATATCCGACAATATAGTTTAGAACCATAAAAAATAAAATTGTTTGAGATATTCAGTTCATTAGTTTAATTATTTTTCAATCGAATATGGTTTTTATCCATAATTTAAAGCAGAACAGGAGCGGCTGTATATTTCAATGGAGCAACTGGTGCTACTGGAGCAGCAACTGGAGAAACAGCGGCATAAGTTGCTGGCACAATGGCACCATCGTATCTTTGTCCGATGTGAACATTGTCGGCAGCATAAGCAGCATCCAAATGAGCATTAACATAACCAACTGGAGCAGCAGCATAAGCAGCACTAACAACAGGAGCAGAATAAGCCAATGGAGCAGCAGCAGCCAGAGGTGCAGCAGCGGCTAAAGGAGCAGCTACAGGTGCAACAGTTTTCACAATTGGAGCAGCAACTGGAGCAGCAGCAACAATTGGTGCAGCAGCGATTCCATTAAAGTTTCTGGCAACATATTGACTACTGGTGGCTGTGACATAAGGTGCTGGAGCAGCTACAACAGCAGCGGGTGCAGTGTAAGCTAATGGAGCACTAAGCAAACCAGGCTTAGCAGCAACACAGGCAACGACAGCGAAGATGACAACGACCTGAAAGAGTAAATAATCTTGTTAAAAATATCCTTTTAACATTTCTTGATTAACTTACGAATTTGAACATATTGTTTGTTGTGAGTTTAATTTGTGTTTGTTTATGAAACAAAAGCTGATTTGTATTTGATATATTCTTCCGAAACTGAATTCTTTTTATACAAATTTCAACTGCAAATGTGAAGCAAAATGCTTAAAAAGGTCATTTCTTGCAATTGTCCTTCTGCATTTATGCAAAACAAAATATTTGAGTCATTCCATTCAATATTCCAAAACTATTTTATAAAATATGTTAAATTGCTTGTTTATTATATTAAACACTGAAACCTCATTTATACAATTTTTGGGAATTTGTGTGGAGAATTTTAATGAAGTTCAAAAACTACAATAACCGTTTTAAGATACAAACGCGTTAAGCCAATGAATTGAAATTGAAATTTAAAATTAAAATTGAACTCGTAAATAAAAATCGGTAACAGGCAACTACCAACTATCAACTAGCAACTAGCAATTGTGAAGTGAATCATTTCACTTACACAAATTTTTGTATAAAAATAGTGCGAAACTCTTTGTTTGATATCAAAAACGTTTTAGTTCTCTTCACAGTAACTTAAAGTACAAAAAAACATCCAATCAAAATGTTCAAATTTGTAAGTTAATTGAGAAATTATAGAAGGATATTTCTAATAATATTATTTACTATTTCAGGTCGTTGTCATCTTCGCTGTCATCGCCTGTGTTGCAGCTAAACCAGGTCTACTAAGTGCTCCATTAGCCTATACTGTGCCTGCTGCTGTCGTAGCTGCTCCAGCACCTTTTGTTACTGCTACAAGTAGTCAAGTTGTTGCTAGAAATTTCAATGGAATCGCCGCTGCACCAATTGTCGCCGCTGCTCCAGTTGTGAAAGCTGTTGCACCTGTTGCTGCTCCTTTGGCTTACGCTTCTCCTTTAGCTTACTCAGCTCCATTAGCCCGCGCTGCTTATGCTGCTGCTCCTTTGACCTATAGTTCACCATTGGCATACTCTGCACCACTCTCAGCTGCTCCAGTTTTATTGTAAACGAGATCTTACGTTGAATGACTGATATATAAATAAATAAAATTATAATTTTTAATTTAATATACGTCTACTTTAATAACTATCTACAGTATTAACTTCTTAGGATTGTCTTTTAAGGATTTTTTTATTTTAATCGGAGTAGCACTAGTTACTATTTTTAGTTCAGAGCTTCAGAAAATCAATTAATCGGAAAACTTGATCATTAATGGCATAGACATTGTGTAAATTGAACTTTAGAGCTATTCAAAACAGCTTCATTCATTATTTTATGAAGAATCATCTCTAACAATGAAATTAATTTCAGATTATATAGTTTTGTAAATAAGCGTTATTGGCACATTTGAAAAGATGAAAGTCCCTGTTCATGATGGAAGTTC